CCCAACCCCTTGCACGTGCTAGGCGAGCACTCTACTGCTGAGCCCCGGTCCCAGCCCCTGTTGTTTGCTTTTAACACCTCAACTTGCAGCCACTTTAAAGTCAAACTCATCACATCACATCTAAAACTCAATAAATGCTCTTTCAATACCAATACAAAGGAAAAATCAGCTTAAATATACTAAGAAAATAATCACAAAACAATGGTCATTAAAAAAAGCAAAACCATTTGCAAAACTCCAAAACACATTTATCTCAGCCATTTTGTTAATAAAATATTTTTCTCTCTGCAAATCTATGCCCAAAGCCTGACCAACTACATACCATCATCCCATTACCAAACAGATATGGCTGCCAGCACTTTCTCCTTCTCTGTAGGTTTTCAAAACTAGTCCACACAGAGAGCTATGCAGTTTGTTTCACCCTGATGTTGTCAAATGGTGAAAACAAACACATTCCTTGTGGAAATCATACTATAGACTTGATATAACAGACATGCTACATCATGTAGTGAAATGCTTTTCTTCTGGAATGGTTTTAAGAGCTGACAACCCAATGTTCAACAAAAGGACCTAATAGGTGATATATGCTGACACTTTGTTTCAGAGAAAACAACTACACTGACTGGTAGAAAAGCAGTATCTTGGTTTTATTTATTTATTTTGATCTTTTTTTTTTTAGTTGTCAATGGATCTTTATATATATATATATATACAGTGCTAAGAATCGAACCCTGTGCTTCACATGCCAGGCAAGTGCTCTACCACTGAGCTACAACCCCAGCCCCAGTATCTTGGTATTAAATACAAAGAAATGGATGGCTTAGATCTAACAATGTGAAATACAGATCAGACATTTAAATTTACAGATGAAATCATATTTTAAATATTAATAAACTTGTTATTCATATGGTAACTTTCTGTCTTTAGCGCAAATATTTGAGTTAAATCAAATACTTTCCATCTAACAATTATAACCATAGACAAACTTTAATGCACTGTCATAATAAAACAGAATCAGGAAGGGAATATATAACACTCTTCTGTGTTTTTCTTCTTCCTTTGTTGTAAAGTACCACATAAGCTAAGTGGAAATTAACCTGAGGTGTCCCTTGGCTCTCACAGGAATCACACAGTACACTGGCCAAAAAAAGGGGGAGGGAGGGTGGTGGCAGGTGGAGGGTGGGTGAAAGAAAGAAGAAGAGAACCCTAGAATAGGAAAAAAAAAATGGCAACAATTTATCATAGTTCTTATTTTTAACAACAACAGGAGCTGAGCACAATGGCACATGCCCATAATCCCAGTGGCTCACTTGAGGCTGAGGCAGGAAGATTGCAAGTTAAAAGCCAGCCTCAGAAACTGAGTGAGGCCCTAAGCAACTTTGCAAGATCTTATTTCAAAATAAAAAATTAAAAGGGGGCTGGGGATGTGGCTCAAGCGGTAGCACGCTCGCCTGATATGCGCGGGGCGCTGGGTTCAATCCTCAGCACCACATAAAAATAAAATAAAGATGTTGCATCCACAGAAAACTAAAAAAAAAACACACACTCAAAAAAAAAAAATAAATAAATTAAAAGGTTGGGGATGTTAAGCATTCTGGGTTCAATCTCCCAATACCAAAAACAAAACAGCAGCATGAAAATACTTCTTATTTTCCTACAAATGCTCAGCATTTCATTCAATAAGTGTTTAACAGCCAGGTGCAGTGGTGCACGCCTGTAATCCCAGCAGCTTGGAAGGCTGAGGCAGGAGAATTGTGAGTTCAAAGCCAGCCTCAGTAATTTAGCAAGGACCTGAGCAACTCAGTGAGACCCTGTCTCAAATACAAAAAAGGGCTGGGGATGTGGCACAGTGGTTAAGTGCCCTGGTTTCAATCCCCAATACCAAAATGTAAAAAAAAAAAAAAAAAAAAGCATTTAACAAGTATCTAAACCTAATACACTTTACATTAGCATCCATGTTAATTAAATTTCCACTTTTTTTTTATTAGCTCAAATTCTTAGATGTATAGTGGCTAAAAAGTTTAGTGTGCAAAGTTTATAAAATCACTATACTATCACTAACTATTAGGTAAATTACAACTTAACACAGCTTAAAAATGCATGCTTAGCATATGTGAAAGTCTGGGTTACATCCCTAGCACCACCCAAAACAACAACAAAAACAACAACAAAAAACCCTCAAACCCCAAGATACACAGGCACAGACTCTCTCTCTCTCTCTCTCTCTCTCTCACACACACACACACACACACATACACACACACACACACACACACCATCAAAGAGAGGGAAAAAAAGAAATAGAAAACTCTACTCCTAGGGTATAAATAGAAAAAAGAGAATAAGGTGGGATTAAAACAGAGAGAATAGTACAATCTTTGCTTAGACAGCAGTGAGTTCTCACTTGGCTGATATAAAAACTTCAAGTCCTATCCCATTTATGTTTTCCTGTCTTATTTTTTCCATGGCATATGTAACTACTGGATACACTGCCCCCCCCCCTTTTTTTTGGTATTGGGGATTGAACCCAGAGGCCTTAACCACTGAGCCACATCCCCAGACCTTTTTTTATATTTATTTAGAGACAGGGTCTTGCTGAGTTGCTTAGGGCCTCACTAAATTGCTGAGGCTGGCTTTGAACTCTCGATCCTCCTGTCTCAGCCTATTGGGATTATAGATATGTGCCACCGTGCCTGGCTATATATCTTAAATGTTTGTCTACTTCCATGAGAATATAAATTCCTTTGGGTCAAGGATTTTCTTTATTCATAGCAGTCAAGTCCAGGATAGAGCATAGTGTATAACAGGCACTCAAGAGCTTGTTGCATGATTAATAATTGCTTGGTACATGATAAATTGAAGTAAAAAGATAAGATATAGAGATAAATCCTAGGAAGGACAAATTCATTTTTTTTTCTTTTTTCTTTTATTGCAGTACTAGGGATTGAATCCAGGGCGTAACACATGCTAGATATGTACTCTATCACTGAGGTGTATCTCCAACCCCCTTTTATTTTATTTGGAGACACAGTCTCATTAAGTCACTGAGGCTATCCTCAAACTTAAGATCTTCCTGCCTTAGTCTCGTGAGTAGCTGGGATTATAGGCATGCATCTCCATGCCAACCCTTGCTTCTTTCTTAAAACAATCTTGGCTATACATGACTGATATCTTAATCAAGTAAAGGGGAAGATGAGGAGTGACAGAAACTCATTATTTTGTAAATTAAAACTTGTCTATAACTTTATGATCCAGAAATTCTACACAGAAATTCTTACACATATGTATTAGCAAAATAGTGGAAATACCCATTGAAAATAAACTGTCATATTTTTACAACAAACACTAGCCAATGAATGAACCTAGATCATTCATTCTCAATGGGGATGATATTAAGGGTGAAAAATGTTTCAGAGACACAGGGGAAATGTTACACATTACAATTGTTTGTGGCCCTGCAAAAGGCCACACAGTACATAACAAACAAACATTAAAATTCCATTGGGGGAAGGAGGAGATTATTAGGGGGAAATGATGTCTAGAAAGGATCCTTAGAGTTAGACATAGTAGCACATGCCTGTAATCCTAGTAACTTAGGACACTAAGGCAGGAGGATCACAAATTTGAGGCTAGCCTTGGCAACTTAGCAAGACCATTTCCAAAAATAAAAATAAAATAAAAAGGGCTGGGGGTGGGGCTGGGGATGTGGCTCAAGATGTAGCACACTTGCCTGGCATGCACGTGGCGCTGGGTTTGATCCTCAGCACCACATACAAATAAAGATGTTGTGTCTGCCAAAAACTAAAATAAATAAATAAATATGAAAAAATTCCCCCTTTCTCTCTCTCTCTCAAAAAAAAAAAGGGCTGGGGGTGCTGGGGATGTGGCTTCCTAGCAGAGCACTTGCCTAGTAAATGTTAAGCCCTGAAGCCTGGAGTTCAGTTTTCAGCACTACCAAAAAAAAAAAAAAAGGGCCTGGAATACAGTTTAGAGGTTGAATGCCCCCAGAGTACTATTCCCCATACTGGGGGAAAAAAATCCTTAGTGAGGTGATAATGAAAAAAAGTTAAGAAACTGACTTAGGTAAACTTCGAAGACATAATATCGGTACAATGGCACACATTTATAATCCCAGCTACTCTCCAAATCAGCTTGGGCAATTAAATAAGAAGACCCTGTCTCAAGTACTTTTTAATTTTTCTTGTTCTTTTTTAAAAAAAATTATTTATTTATTCTAATTTGCTATGACAGCAGAATGCATTTCAATTCATAGTACACATACAGAACACAGTATTTCATGTCTCTGGTTGTACATAAAGTAGAGTCACACCATTTCTGTCTTCATACTCAAAATTTTGATAATAAAAAACAAAACACTATTATATTGAGTAAAAGAAGTGAGTTACAGAAGAATACATGTAGTATGATACTATTTAGATGAAGTTCAAAGCATACAAAATAACTTATTGTCTAGAATATACATATATATATATATGTATATATATATGTATATATATAATTAAGCTATAATTTAAAAACTTCAGAAAAATTGTGAGGCAGATATGAGTATGTCAAAATTCAGGAGGGGAATATAAGGAGATTCAAAAGAGTTGCTGTGTGGGCTGGGGGTATGGCTCCGTGGCACAGTACTGTTTAGCATGTGTGAGGATTTGATTCAATTGCCAGCACCAATCTTGCAAAATGTTAACCATATTTTTTTCTTGGACTGAGGCAATAAACACATTGGTGTTCATTTTATTATTATTCATCCTTAGTTATTTATATATTTTTATTAGTATGAAATATTTCATAATTAATAAGTATTTAAAAGTCTCATATATCAATTTACTATAAGTAAAATCTTAGTAACTTAACTGAAACTGTATGAATAACTTTTCCACTGATCATCATCTAATACAGACATAACCCTATGCTGTTTAAAAAAACAATGGGCCTAATTTCTTTTAAATAAAAATGTTTTAAAAAATAATAATTCATACCCAGCCACCTTGCTGAATGATGTACTCTGCTGCATAGTCCTCCAGATATGTCACTCCGAACTGTAGCAGTGTACTCAAAGGTTCTTGACCACGTCTTGTCAACTCCAAAAGCATTTGTCGGAGCAAAACCAGAGGCACCAAAATCTTCAATGTAAAGATAGAGGCGGGGAGAGACACTCTGAAATTCTTTTTTTTTTTTCTTTTTTTTATTCTAATTAGTTACACATGACAGCAGAATGCATTGTTCATTGTACACAAATGAAGCACAGCTTTTCATTTCTTTGGTAGTTTACAATGTAGAGTTGCACCATATGTGCAGTCATACATGTGCCTAGGGTAATGATGTCTCCTCCTTCCCCTTTGTCCAAAGTTTCCCCATTCTTCGCATGCCCCTCATTGTGCATCAGCATCTACTTATCAGGGAGAACTTTTGGCCTTTGAGTCTGAAATTCTTATAATGCATTTTTTATATCAAAATACTGGAAAATTATACTCAGATGTATCATTATATTTCATATGTTTATTTCATAAAACACTAACCCCTACTAGAATCTTTTTCTCAATATTACATATATTTCTGAATATTTCATATGATAGGGTGGTAGAATTATTATATAAAAATAACCGTGTATTATTTATAATAACAGAAGACTAAAAACAACTCAATGCAGACTAATTTAATGAATTCTGGTCATCCAATAGAGTTGAAAAGAGACTGTTCAGTACTCAATCACCAAATTAATTAATTAATTAATCAGTTCCCACTCATACCCTACCAAAATTTACTTTAAGAGAAAGAAAGATACAGGAGAATGAGGGATCATTCATGAAACAAAACAAAATGCATATACACATATAAGTTTGTATAGCCCTACAGTATCTCTGGAAAAAACATATAAGAAACTAAAAATAGTGGTTGCTTAAGAGGAACTAGGTGAGTGTCAACAAAGGTGAAAAAAAAAATCTATTTTTTGATGCACCTCTTTCTGTACTTTTTATAGTTTAAACCATATTCTTTTATTATTTGAAAATAAGAACTTTTTTAAAATTATGACCTATATTGTAAAAATCATAAAAAATCAAATATAAAAGGAGGCATTATAACCCGTACCTAATAACACAAAAGGTAAGCCATCAAAATTTATAACAAACTAGTCTGTTGTTGCCTTCCAAAAAAAAAAAAAAAAAAAGTGGGCTGGGGCTGTGGGTCAGTGGCAGAGCATTTGCCTAGCATGTGTGAGGCACTAGTTTCTGTCCTTAGTACTACATATAAATGAACAAACAAAATAAAGGCATTCTGTCCATATACAACTACAAAAAAAAAATTGCATATTGGGCTGAAAATGCAGCTAAGTGGTAGAGTCCTTACCTAGTATATGCAAGGCCCTAGGTTCAATCCTCAGTAATAAAAACAAAAAGAAGAATTACATATTGAAAAAAGAATTAATAGGAGAGCACTTGCCTAGCATTCCTGAGTCCCTCCATTTGATCCCCAACATTAAAAAAAAAAGAAAAGAAAAAACTAAGTATTTCAGCTAGCCATCTATATGAAGTCTCTTGTCTAAAACATCAAAAGGTCTACATGATGGCAGAAGGAATGCACAAGGAAATGAAACCAATTCTCGTTACTTGTTACTGGATTACCAAGAAAATAACTGAGGGCTGACAAAATATTTCCCCAGAGGAGGACAAATAAAAATGCCCAGTGAGTTTATACTTCATACTAATATTCTTTGGCTTCTAAGCAGCCCCAAAGGAGTCTATATTAAACTCTGACAGAGAATGAAACAAACAAATTCATTTACTTTTTGACCTTTTAGAAAACTCCAGTTTTTAACACTAATGGAAAGACATAGGGCTATAAAGACAAATATGCTAGGCTTTTCCCATAATAAGAAAATCTCTCATGCTAACAAAAACAGAAACAAAAAAAGTTCATCTAGCCCCAGTATTTTGCCTTGGGCAAGAACAGGCAAGGGACTTATCAGTCAGCCTTGCTATTCATATCCTATGAGCTTCAAAGGCCTGAGATGTTCTGAACCTCAAACATTTTTATTTCCCACAAAAATCCATAAATACATAAAAATTTGAAACTCTTCATAATAAGCTCTACTGCTTCTTGGGGAAATGAGGTGCAAACATTTTAGAATTTCTTTTATTGTTCCAAATTACCTTTTTCATGTGTATCAAAAAGTAGATACCCTGATTTTATAATAAATCTGCAATCCTCTTTCACTTCTGTCAATTTTAATATTTGACTGTATTCCCTCATTCACTATACATTTGGGCAAAATGTAATCTTCTTATCACATTACTTTCTTTTCATATTAATGTTTTATTTTTAGTTGAAGATGGACACAATGCCTTTATTTTATTTTTATGTGGTGCTGAGGATCAAACCCAGTGCCTCATATGTGTGAAACAACCACTCTATACTACTGAGCCACAACCGCAGCCCTAATTTCTTTTTCTTTTTTCTTTTTAATGTTTATTTTTTAGTTGTAGTTGGACACAATACCTTTATTTGTTTTTATGTGGTGCTGAGGATCGAACCCAAGGCCTCGTGCTTGCTAGGCAAGTACGCTACCACTGAGCCACAACGCCAGCCCCCTAATTTCTTTCTTTAAATTGTCCTTTTCTGGATCTTCTCATTCTGTCTTTCTTGAAATATAGTCACCAGAGTGTAGAAATTTCATTTTATGGACTACCATTTTCTAGTTTGATTGACAACACTTTTTTTGTTGATGTATGTTGTGTCAGATGATTTATTTTCCCCCCTTCATACCTCACACAACTGTTAATGTCTATTATAGACCAGGCTTACTTAGGTGACATACTTTCTTCATAGACCTGTACAGTGACTTTTAGCTTTTACTTTTTTAAGTTTATTTTATTTATTTATTTTGCAGTGCTGGGGACTAAACCCAGAGCCTTGCATATATGTTAGGAAAAGGCTCTACTACTGAGCTACATACCCAGCTCGACTTCCGACTTTTTAAAACACGGTTTAAATAACTTTTAAATAGTTAAACCCAGTTCATTTGCCTATGCACAAAAGCTTCATGAGGAGCTAGGGTTGTGGCTCAGTGATAGAGCACTTGCCTAGCATGAGTGAGGCACTGGGTTCGATTCTCAGCACTGCATATAAATAAATGAACAAAATAAAGGTCCATCAATATCTAAAAAAATATTTTTTTTAAAAAGTCTTCATGAGTTATTTCTACAACTGATGGCCATTAACTTGGCATTTTCCTACCCACATGTATTCTATATTACTGGGCATGGTGGTCCATGCCTGTAATCCCAGAAGCTGAAGCAGAAGCACCATGAGTTTGAGGCCAGCCTCAGTAATTTAGGAGGTCGGTAGTGACTTAATGAGACTCTGTCTCAAAAAATTAAAAAGGCCTGGAGATACAGCCCAATGGTAAAAGTGCCCCTGGGTTCAATCCTCAGTAACCCCCTCCAAAAGAGTATTCAATATAATCTGCAACCACATTTGTTTTGTATTCATCCCTCTTATATTATTTTTTATTTTAAATTAATTAGTTAATTAATTTTCCAATACTGGGGATTGAACTCAGGGGTGTTTTGTCGTTGAGCTACAGACTCAGCCCTTTGTAATTTTTATTTTGAAGACAGAGTTTTCCTAAATTGCCCAGATGGCCTCCAACTTGCAATTCTCTTGCTTCAGCCCCCTGAGAATCTGGGATGACAGGAGTGTACCATGACACTTAAGTTTTTTTTTTCTTTTTTTAATGTTAAAATAAAACTGAATTCCCATTCATTTTGAGAAGGTCTCACTATTCACATTTCTAGGTCTATATGAACTAATGTGAATATACTAAATCTCTGACCTGACTTCAGAAGGGCAAATTTTATGTGAATTACATTTCAGTGAACAAAAAACAAAATATATCAACCAAAAACAATGCACAGACTTTGTTCCGACTTTGATTCAAATAAACCAGCTTTAAAACACGGTTGACATTTGCAGGAAAATGGATGGAACCATTACTCAGGAGGTCAAGGGTTATATTTTCTCTCATATGTGTAGGTAAGAGGAAAAAGAGGAAGAAAAAAAAAGGTGGGCAGGGGCAGGACTCAAAGGGAGATCAGTAGAGGAAAAGGCATCAGGGAGGTGAGGGAGGGGGAAAGTGTTGAGAAGAGATATTGGCCAAATTATAGTTATATTGTGTGCATGTATAAATGTTTAACAACAAATCCCATCATTATGTATAACTATAATAATGAACCAATAAAAAATGTGGAAAGAAAACAATCATACAGTTATGATAAAATTTCTTAAAACATTTAAAAATTAAATTAAAAATACATTTAGCAGCTGGGCACAGTGATGCATACTCAGAAGGCTGAAGCAGGAGGATCAAAAGTTAGAGGCCAGTCTAGAAACTTAGTGAGATGCTAAGTCTCAAAATAAAAAAATAAAAGGGGCTAGGAGATGTAGATGCAGCTCAGTGGTAGAGCTCCACTGGGCTTAACTCACAGTAACAAAAACGAATGAGTGAAAATGAATACCTAGTAAATTATGTGACAATATTAAAGAATTACTGTTAATATTCTTAAGTGTGCTAATGATAGCATCAGTAGGTTTTTTTCTATGTGTTATTTGTATATTTTTATGTGGTGCTGAGGCTCGAACCAAGTGCCTCACACATGCTAGGTAAGCACTCTACCACTGAGCCACAACTCCAGCCCCAATCAGTAGGTTTTAAAAAGAGGATATAGGACTCAGGATGTGGCTCAGTGGCAGAATACCTGCCTAACATGAACAAGGCCCTGGGTTCTATTCCCAGTATCCCCAAAAATAAGGTAAAAGAAATACATTATTCTTAGGAATACATACTAATGTGTTTATGAATAAAATATGATGTCTAAGGTCTACTTCATTAATCTAGGGGAAGAGAAGGAAGAATATGTGGGGAAACAGATGAAAACAGATTTGTTTTTTTTTCTCTTTGATGGTCATTTTCTCCTTTTTTATAAGCAGACAGGAAAAAAAAATACCCACAAGGAAAAAAAAAAATCACTTACAATTCCAAGATAGCTACAATGGATTATTTAATATTTTGGCAAATATCATTTTTTTTGAGATTATATATATATATATTCTACATTTATATATGTACATTTTTGGGCCTCACATATGCTAAGCACAAATTCTACCACCAAGCTGCACTCCCAGTCTGATGTCCTTTTTTTTTTTTTTTTTAATAACAAAAGATCATATAACTAATGTATGTTCATAACCAGCTTTTTCCATCTACTCTTTTAAACATATTTAAAGAGTATTCTATAAAGATGCTTTAAAAATTTCTTTACAAATGAATCGATACTCAGTTTGTCCCTAACCTGGCATGCTTTGTAGACATTTTTTTTTTTTTTCTGATTGGTGCTTTATTGACTTGCTAGATAGTAAGCAATATTATATCAAATTTTTGCCTCCCCTTCACTTTTTTGGTACCAAGGATTGAGCACAGAGGCGTTTAACCACTGAACCATATCATCAGCCCTTTTTATTTTGAGATAGGGTGTTGCTAAGTTGCTTTGGGGCCTCTCTAAGTTGCTGAAGCTGGCTTTAAATTTACAATCCTCCTGTGTCAGTCTCCCAAACCGCTGGGATCACAGGCATGTTGGCATGTTCCACCATGCCCAGCTTTTATTTGTTTCCCCCTTTAAAAAGCACTATAGGTCCTTTGCTAATGACCCATTCAGCTATCAAAAAAGTGTGGCCTGGAGATGCAGTTCAGTGATAGAGTGCTTACATAGTATGTGTGAGTCTATGGGCTCAAACTCCAGCATGGTAAACAAACAAAAACAAAACAAAGTAAAAACATTGTTTTTGGGGTGACATGGCAGGATGCTGTATAGTTTTGCTTCTATCAGGTGGCTAAACAAGGTGTTGAAGACTAAAAAAAAAAAAAAAAGACTGGAATTTTGCAAACCTCATGCTGAATGTAAACTGTAAGCTTACTGTTTTGTGAACCACTCTAGATTTTAATTGGAATGAGGGAGGGTAGATTTCAGCAGCCTAATATCATAAACCAGGTTCTTTTTAGTCCTTGAGAATTTAGAAGGAAAGTAATACTAGATTCAGCAGAAAATGTAATATTCTAATTGGCATGCCTCATTAACTTGAGGTATTTAAGCCACAGCTTAAATAAGTCAACAGTTGGCCCCCTGATCCAGATGAGGGATTATCCATTTAACAAGAAAATGCATAAAAACAGGAAGGGTGAAAAAGGGCAGTGAAGACCAGGTTGACTTAGATTTTTTATGATCATTCTAGGATGGGGGCAGTGAAGGGTAGGGCATACAAGAATTTACTCTAACAGTTACTAGACAGAAGCAACAGAAAGAAAAGAAAACTAGTAAAATTATTACCTAAGTATAAGATGTTTGATATACTAAGAAATATATCATAACCAAGCTCATTGTTATTTATAAAATCTATTTCAAATGTCTGTATTTTTCTTTGTTCCAAAAAAATGAGGAAAAAAATATATTTTAATACATTATGAACACTCTGAAACTCTATACAAGTAACAATAGTCATGTGATACATAATGTTTCAGTCAAAAATGAACCACAGGTCAGTGGTCCTCTAAGATTATACTACCTAGTGACATCGTACCAGTTTTAATTTTTTTAAATATTTTGTTTATTTAGTTGTAGTTGGACACAATACCTTTATTTTATTTTTTATGTGGTGCTGAGGATCGAACCCAGTGCCTTGCACGTGCTAGGTGAGCACTCTATTCCTGAGCCACAACCCCAGACCCGTACCAGTCTTAATTTGTATACACTTTACATGTTCACATAATGAGGTCGCCTAAGGATGCAATCCTCAAAATTAACCTCCATTGTTATATGATGCATAAGGACAAGGTCTTGTGTATTAAAACTAGTATATTAAGCCAGGTACAGTGGCATATGCCTCTAATTCCAGAGTCTGAAGAGACTGAGGGAGGAGAATCTCAAATTCAAGGTCAGCTTTGGCAATTTTGTAAGACCTTGTCTCAAAATCAAAGTGTAGGGCTCAGTGGTCCGGCACTTGCCTAGAATGTGTGAGACCCTGGGTTCAAATCTTAGTACTGCAAAAAATATACATAAGTAAATAAAATAAAGTAAAATTAAGAAGGGCTGGAGTTGAAGCTCAGTGGTATCACGCTTGCCTACTATGTGTAAGACCCTGGGTTTCATCCCAAGCACTGAAAAACAAAAACAGAAACTAGTACATTAGTTGCTGTTTGCTGAGTGCTTATAATACTACTCTGGTCTCTCTTTACATGGTATAAATCTTTTACCTTTTACTGAATGCTTTTTATGGTGACAGATAATGTGCTACACATATAATCTCAACTAGTTCTAATTAAATGTATAAAGTTAGTAGTATTGTCTCCATTTCACAGATGAGAAAACTAAGATTCAGAAAGCTTAATTAACCTGCCTAAATAAATTTAATCTGTGATAAAGCTGATGTTTGAGAAACTAAAAAAATTTTGATCTCAGAGAAGCAGATCTAGTTAAACAAGGAGATGTAATGGTTACAAGAGACTGCAATAGTTAAGAAGAGAAAGAGATAGGGAGACCTTGTTCAAAGGATACATAATTACCATTAGATAGGAGGAATATATTTCAAAAGATCTACTGCATAGCATGATGACCATAATTAATGACAATATATTGCATTCTTGAAAAATGTGAAGAGGGTGAGTGTGTGTTTTTAACCACAAAAATGATAAATGAGGTCACACATTTGTTAATCATCTAGATTTAAATACTCTACAATGTATACATACTTCAAAACACCATGTTGTACATGATAAAAACAATGTTGACTACCAATTAAATTTTTTTTTAAAAAGCTGAGATTTGAAACAAATCAGATTGCATACCCAATATACATCAATTAGGCACATATGGTCACACTGTCTGACCTATTTACAGCCAGCCTTCCATATCCTTGGGTTCTATATCCAATCTTGGATTGCAAATATTTGGAAAACTGCATCTGAACTGAACATGCACAGATGTTTTTCCTTGTCATTCTCTAAACAATACAGTATAACAAGTACCTATGTAGCATTTACAGTGTATTAGTTAAATTAAGTAATCTAGAGATGATTTAAAGGACACAGGAGAAGTGCATATATGCAAATACTACACCATTTTATACAAGGAACTTGAACATAACAAATTTTGGTATCTGAAAGTGGTCCTGTAAACAATCCTCTAGGCATACTGAATACTATATAGGAATGACTGTACAAAGAACTCTGAGTAGAGGTGGCTATTTGTAAAAATATTGGTGCTGAAATTTTTCCTCCCTGATGCTAAATCACCTGGGGGCCATACTTCTTCATATTACATCCTCTTATACTCACCTTTCCAAGGTGATAAGTAGAAAATACAGTCTAAGATAATGGACAAACAGTATGGTATAGCAAAAAACAACAACAACAACAACAACAAAAAACCCTCTGAGGTTAAAATTTTCTAATTTAGATCTTAGCTCTAGTGTTAGCTCCAATATTTATTAGTTAAGAAGACCTAGGCAATTTCTTTCATTTTTTTCCTGATTAGTCATCTGACCTAATAAACAACACAAAAATCTAATAAAATTCATTCTGCCTTCTTAAAAGGATGGTCGTGATATCAGATGGGATGTGACACAAAATACTTTCAAACTATAAGACACAAATGATATTAGTTAAGAAAATAATAAGAAGATATCTCTCAAATGAAGTCAGTCTTCTCCAAGATATACTCACATTTTAATAAATAACCATATGGAGATAAAAGTCACCTCTAATACAAGGAAATGAAGAAATGATAGGAAATTCAGAATGTGCAGAAAGGAAGGAGAACATACTATGAGGGACATATTTTTGGGCCAAGCAGAAGTAGCATTAATCAAAACAACAATTAAATAAGAAATATCCACTTAACATAGTTATACTTACACATTAAAGAGCTCTAACACTTTCTTAATGTAATACACTAATGATTCCTTCTATACTTTACCATTATCACACTAAAATCTTGTAAGAATAAAGATAATTTGGTTAATACCTTGCTCCAGCCGCTGGCATGAACTGCGGTCTCCAGTGTACATTCACGATATGCCTGATATGTCACTGGCCTGTAGAGAATTTTTTAAAAGTCTGTGTCACAAAAAAGAAAAATTCTAAATTTTCAGATGAATAAATATAAAGACACTATTGTTTTGTTGAATCTTTTGCTAAAGTGACTAAGATTATTCAACATATTGTTTTATATAAGATATGGTTTTTAGTATTTGGGCTGCATTTTTTCCAAGCATTCTATAGCATTAGATGCATATTTGGGAAAGTAGTTATTAAAATAGTAAGATAAATGTATCATCTAATAAATTTTTTGTAATTACTTAGAAATTATCTGATAGAACTTATTTATGTTGCAGATAAATACTTGGGTTACTAATATCAAATAACAACAAATAAAATTAAAAGTATAATTTTAACACTTTTAAAAGCCAAAACATCTATAATATTTAAGAACCAAAGAAATATGTTACTGGGGCTGGGATTGTGGCTCAGTGGTAGAGCGTTTGAATAATAAGTGTGAGGCACTGGGTTTGATCCTCAGCACCACATTATAATAAATAAACAAAATAAAGATTTGTGTACATCTACAACCCAAAAAATTTTTCTAAAAAAAAAAAAAAAAAAGAAACATGTTACTGGAAGATTTTCAAACTAAGGATACAAGGAATTAGAATAAATAATGTCAAAAATTGGTGCCTTTTCTTTTTTTGGTAGTGAGGATTAAACCCAGGGGTACTTAACCACTATATTTTATTTAGAGACAGGGTCTTGCTGAGTTGCTGAGGTTGGCTTTGAACTCATGATCCTCCTGCCTCAGCCTCCCAAGCTGCTTGGATTAAAGGCATGTGCCATCATGCCTGGCTTGGTGCCCTATTTATTTTATTTGTTATAATTAGTTGGTGTCCTATTTTTAACTTGTAGTCTTATGATATAAAATCCTGGAGGGATCAGAAAATAACAATAATAAAAAAATATAATCCTGGAGGGCAAGGAAATTAGCCTGATTATTTACATGCAAGTTCTAGTCATATCAAAAACCTAAATCATTGCCAGGTGTGGTGGCATATGCTTGTAATCCCAGTAATTTGGGAGGCTGAGGCAGGAGGACTCCAAATTCGAGGCCAGTCTCAGAAACTTAGTGAGGGCCTAAGCAACTGAGACTGTGTCTCAAAATAAAAAATAAAAAGGGCTGGGGATATGACCCAGTGGTAAAGCACCCCTGGGTTCAATCCCCAGTAACAAAACAAAAAAACAGACAAAAAAAAATCCTGAAATCACTGAGTGATGACAGCAAAGTCTCATTAATTTGTTGAAGGGCTTTAAGTACTATATTTTAAACACTGATCTCATGTGCAAATTAAACAAACACAAAAAATTGTACCAAATAAGACATAAAGACAACAATAGCTTGGATAATAGATTCAAGACCTCCAACCCCGTTTTGGGCAAAGTGTTAACAGACATGTAAAAAGGAGTGAAGAAGTCTTGCTTTCGTAGGATTTTAGAGCTTTTTTGTTTGTTTTGTGTGTAGTGCTGGGAATCAAACCAAGGTCTTACACATGCTAGATGAGCTCTCTACCATTAAGCTACACTTTTAGCTCTCTATAGGACTTTAAAATTCCACTTCAAAGGCATTTTCTGCTCTGACCACTCGGGTCTGATTTCTTCAGCCTACGAATATTTAAGATTGATAACAGTTACAATTTATTGATAGCCTATTATGATAGGTAGAATATTTCTGTGTATGTATATTTTATATTACATATCAAAGCTAAAAAGAACAAAGTAGGAATTCAAGCTCAATTAGATCTGACTCCAAAGGTCACACTGCTCCCATTTCAAGTGAGGATTTTGACAAAAGCCTTGACAATGTCTCAATGCCACATATGGCTAATGAGCATTTGAATGTGGCTATGTTGTGCTGAAAGTATAATCTACACGCTGAATTTTAAACAGTAAGTAAAAAGAATGTAGTCTATCCCACTAATAATTTTTTATACTGAGTATGTGTTAAAATGAAATTTGAATATACTAGGCTGAAAATATATTATTAAATTTTAGAAATTAATTTCATACTTTGTATGCGGCTGCCAAAAATTTTAATTGCATATATTTGATTTGCATTACATTTACTGAATAGCACTGGTTTAGATATTTCAGAAAACAGTTCTGAAGACATACATAAAATCTTTTATACACATCAATATCAAATCAATATTAGAGTGATACTGAAATACCAGGGATGATCTTTTTAATGGTAAGATGGATACAGTATGTACTAACTTCCTGATATCACATTCTCATTAAAGTAAGCTTAGTATTTTTTCAAGAAGCCTTGGAGTATACACTTCAATCTTGTAAAGCTTGAACGTCAGTAGATACTATGTAGTCTACCTACCTATATTCTCCCTGAAGTTTTACTTGTGTATATCAGTCCCTTCACTTCCTTTCCTGAACTGTTTGATGCTGCTGTGGGTCACAGTAGTCCTTATAAGTAGCATGTCTATCAGGCTAAAGTACTTTAGCATCCTTCAGAATGAAACATGATTTGAAACATTACATGTACACATAAGAGATGCAGAAGCTTAAAACATTCAAAAAAAAAAATCTAATACATAGAAAAGTTAAGAAGATGAATAACCTAATCAGGCCTAAGAGCAAAAAAAAAGAGAGGTGGGTACCTTTTAAAATTGCTGGTGTTCCGCATGAAGAGTTCAGCATTATTGTAATTTCCTACTTTAACAAAACTGTTTGGAGGAGCAGATGGTATTTTCCACCTTAAGATATTGCCTTCAACCTGTATAATACTTCTAATATATCACCAGTTAGTTATTTTCAAGGTATTAGTAACAAAACTAAAAACTTTCTAAAGTAGACTTATGAAAAAATTTTATTCACAGGAAGATCTGACTTTGCTATGCTGGGGCTGGGGTTGTGGCTCATTAGAGTGCTTGCCTAGCATATGTGAGGCACTGGGTTCGATTCTTATCACCGCATATAAAAAATAAAGATCCACTGACAACTAAAATATATTAAAATAACTGCACTGGTATTCAAGGCTTGGGAAAACATTCATCTAAACCAATTTTCTTGCAAACATAATTTATAGTGAGATGAGATCAAATTTTTTTTCTATAGATTACAAAAAGACTCCAGGAACAATATTAAAAAAAAAAAAAAAAACTATATGATATTCTTCTTGGAAGAGTTGATATTATCAAAGCAAAGTTAAAGCTAACAAATGAAAAAACTGACATAAAGAATAAAAAGGTTTCAGGGGCTGGGGCTGGGGCTCAGCAGTAACACACTTGCCTGGCATGTGTGAGGCACTGGTTTGATTCTCAGCACCACATATAAATAAATAAAGGTCTATTAGCAACTAAAAAATATTAAAAAAAAAAAAAAAAAAAAAGAATGAAAAGGTTTCAAAGCCATAAATGGTTTCCATCAAATTAGAAACAGAATCTTTTGCCTGTGCCTATCACTTAGTTATTTTACTCCCAATAGCTTTTACAAGGTTTTTTGTTTTGGTTTCCTTTTTGGCAAAGTTGCAAATTTCTTTCTTCAAACCTTACATGAAACTTCATATATAAAAAACATATGGAAGTATAGTGTCCTGGCTTAAGAAGCGTAGAGAGGTCCTAATAAGCCCCACTAACTCAATCTACCTCTTACCTTTTCAGGGGCTCCTATAGCAACCTCAGTGCTTAAGGCTCCACTGAACACTTTTTGATATCACTATTTTGATCCACATTTCCTATTTAAGTTCTACTTCCTGGCACCTATATATTTCTTTCATTTTTATCTTTAAACAATTTTTTTTTTTTTTTTTTTTTTTGGTACCAGGGATTGTTGAGCCATATTCCCGGCTTTATTTATTTATTTATTTAATAGGGGGCAGGGTCTCACTGAGTTGTTTAAGCTAAGTTGCTGAGGCTGGGTTTGAACTTGCAAACCTCCTGCCTCAGCCTCCTGAGTCACTGAGATTACAGGTATGGGCCTCCATGCCTGGCTTAAACAAACTTTTTAAGATTAAAAAATTCAAATATGGGGCTAGGATTGTGGCTCAGCAGTAGAGAGCTTGCCTAGCATGGGCGAGACCCGGGTTTGATCTTCAGCACCACATAAAAATAAAGGCATTGTGTTGTGTCCATCTACACCTAAAAAAAATTTCAAATATGATTTCATTTCTCTAAGTATAATTAGGAGTTTTCTGTTTGTTCATTTAACTGAATTCTCCTAAAATTGCTTCCTTGCAACAAATATATAAATTGTCCCTACATAAAAGTAAGAAATTATTGTTGTAGTAAAGTACTACAACAGTAATTTAGCATCTGAATTTTGGCCCTTTTAATAAACAACAGTCTTCTTCCTATTTTATAAAGTTGTCAATCTTCATTAAGATAAATATGTCGCTAACTCACATCAATTCCTTAATAATTGTCAGCAAAGAACTAGAGAAAAATAACTTTCTACAACAAATGAATTTGTTCTATTTTAATATACTTTCATTTTTATTAATAAGTTTCTAGCTTTAATATGGTTGATGCATAGCTAGGAAGGAAGTCTACTATAAGAATGTGAAAGTAGGGCTGGGTTGTAGCTCAGTAGTACAGCGCTTGCCTAGCACGTGTAAGGCACTGGGTTCGATCCTCAGTACCACATAAAAATAAGTAAAATAAAAATATTTAAAAATAAACATTTAAAAATAAAAATATTTTTTAAAATATTTTTATTGTAGACAATACAAATATTGTCTACAATAAAAATTTAAAAAAAAAAATGTGAAAGTAGTTCCATGGACAGAAGTCCCTAAAGTTTAGCGATATCTGGGATATGGATATAATCTTAAATACAATCTAAAATATAATGCTGATATCAAATTATGATGCATAAAACTCCAGCAATTATATCTATGTTGGCCAACTAGAAAGAACCATAGTAAAAAGTGGTCAGAACAAGTGCAATAGCTTGTGTTTACAACACGGTTAAATGCATCCATTGAAATCTGATAGCTCAATAAATAATACAAACCATCAAATCTTTGTCGGAACAGTTAAATCACTACTTAGAGGCAAAGTTGTCATTCAAAACACAGAGATGCTTTGGGAAAGCAAAAGAAAAAAAAGCGAAGAAAAGTGAGAAAAGAAATGACACTGTTCACCTAAAACAAAGCCTTAACCAATCCAGCGCCGCATGAGAGATCCGAGACTACTTAGAGAAGCACATTCCCACTCAGCAATGGTAACTCACTGGCTGAGGAGCATTTGCAATGCTTTATGCAGAGGTTCTTTCAGTTCCTGCAATACTCTTTCTCCAAGATGGGCCAAGCAGTCTTCTATTGAGCTTTCTGGGTTAGCAGGGCTAAACACTGGAGAAGTGTGACGGTCAAAGCCTGTGCTGGTGAAGGCTGAAGACAAGGCAAGAGAAAAACCAATTTAGTAAATAAAGCTGTACTAAAAAAGCTCATGGTACTAAGATATTTAATATTAGGAAAAAGTTAATAGTTATAACCACTTATAAAGGTCAGATAATCATTATAGATATTAATCTTATCTGGAATATAAAAGTTGATAGGTTCTAAATTTAGAGTTTATTTATTTATTTATTTATTTATTTTTTAAAGAGAGAGAGAGAGAGAGAGAGAGAATTTTAATATTTATTTTTTAGTTTTCAGCGGACACAACATCTTTGTTTGTATGTGGTGCTGAGGATCGAACCCGGGCCGCACGCACGCCAGGCAAGCGCACTACCGCTTGAGCCACATCCCCAGCCCCTAGAGTTTTTTTAAAGGCAGAGTTTTAATGGAAAATCAGTTTTAAAAGAAGAAAGCAACTATATTGACATGTCAAAATACACTAACAGGGCTATGGATATTGCTTACTGGAATCCTAGCATGGGAGAGACCCTGGGTTCTATCCCCAGCACAGAGGGGGAATATCTAACCAATTTAGTTTATGCCTACTGGCCAATTTAGCATAAGAATAATAAATGAGAGTTAACTCTAGGCTCTATTATTCTTCTCTTGATATTTATTTTTAAGGTTTTGTTTTTGCTTTTATAAATGTACCACTTCTTAAATCACACTCTATGATGAGTGTATTCCAACTCAGAAAATGAGTCCATTGCTTTCATTTCTTATTAAAATGAACTTTCTATCTCAATTATTTCTGCAGATAAATTTTAAAACTATGAAGGTAATATAAGAGCCAAATATGGAAAAAGTAATCATAATCATATTCTACCTCTTCTTAGTTCAAATTACTAGCTTCTCTATTTCCCAACTTCATGTTATAGAGACTTATCCATTCCCTGACTCTAGGAAGAATAGGGAGAATGACTGTCATTTTAGGGTGCAAGCTGGATGTCAGCACAGAATCCCAGTAAAGCAAGTGGTTTACACCCACTCCTCAGAGTTACCAATTATTTTCATAAAATGCTGTGCATTCATCTTGGCTTGTTCCTAGAAGGCTGCAAATTTTAATACACCTTGCTTACATCCAAGAAAGATGCAAATGCCTACAGAGTTCATAATTACTTTGCTGTCTGAGCAAGCTTTAGAGTATTCATTTTTTTAAATACTTATTTTTTTTCTTATAGGTGGACACAATGTCTTTATTTTACTTTATGGGGTGCTGAGAATTGAACCCAGTGCCTTACGCATGCTAGGCAAGTGCTCTACTTCTGAGCCACAACCCCAGCCCCTAGAGTATTCATTTTAATGATTAGCTTTGGATAATATGGGACTTAGAGATTATATTTACACCTTTTGTTGCTCTTTTTTCCTTTCTCCCTTTTGCCCATTTTATTATGCAGCACTTCTAATATCAAAATGTACATGAAGAAACTGGGTGCTGTGGCTGACCTCTAGTCCCAGCTACTTAAGAGGCTAAGGTGGGAAGAGTGCTTGAGCCTGGGAATTAGAGACCAGCCTGGGCAACCTGGTGAGACCTCATCTCAAAAGGGTGGCGGGTGGAAGACTGTGTATCAAGACTTAAGAGAGAACTGGAAATTTAATAAATTAAAATGTTGATAAAACGAAGGGCTGGGGATATAGATATAGAGTTCTTGCCTTGCATGCACAAAGCTGTGGGTTCAATCTCCAACACCATTTTAAAAAAAGTTGATAAAATGAATATAAAAGAGAAGATCAACAGGCTTTTGGATTATTTATATATTTCTATTCAGATTCTTTCTGTACTAACAGGTAACTGATTTATAAACATGATTTATAAATTTGCTCATTAAAGATTATTAGGTAGTGGGCTGGGGATATAACTCAGTTGGTAGAGTGCTTGCCTTGCCTGCACAAGGCCCTGGGTTCAATCCCCAGTACTGTAAAACAAATTCTAGTAGAGCAGAGGAAGGAGAATGGGGGATGGGAGGGGGGATGGGAAGGAAAAGGGTAATCAATTTTCATGCATGTATGAGTTTGTTGGGATGAATCCAACTACTGTGTATAATTATAAAGCTCTCAAAAAATGTGTACAAGAACATTCACAGCAGCATCATACATAATAGTGAAAAACTGGAAACAACTTCCATGTCCATCAATGTCCATCAACTGATGAATGGATAAACAAAATATGGCATATCCATACAATGGAATATTATTCAACAGCAAAAAATAATGAAATACTGATACCTGCTACAACATGAATGATCCTTAAAAACCTTGTGCTAAATAAAAGAAGTCAGTCACAAAAAAACCACATAGTACATGATTTCATTTACAGATATACCTGGAATAGGCAAAGTCACAGAAATAGAAAGCAGATCAGTGGCTGCTTTGGGTGGGACTGGGGTGGGGTTAGTGGAGATGATTATTAATCTACACAGTATTTCTTTTTGCAGAGTTGAAAGTATTCTTAATTTAGATTATGGGATGGTTACACAATTCTGTGCATATACTAAAAACCACTTAACTACAACTTCTAAATGGGTAAATTTTAGGGTATGTGAAATATACCTTAATAAAGTCATTTTTTAAAATCACTGAGCAAAACGTTCAACGTAGAATTATTTGTGGAAGTGAAAACAGGAAGTAACCAAATGCTCCTCTCAATAATAAAGGAACAATTGGGTAAATGTTCATTTAATGACTATAATTTCACACAGCTAGTAGAATGACAATTATTTTTAAAACTTATGATGAAGTAGTGTTCAGTGCAAAATATGTGGCTAGAAAATGATACCTACACTATAACAATCTATAGCTTATATACATGTAAAAATGAGAAGCTCTCTCTTTCATGCTGTTATTAGTTATAAAGTTACCAAATATAAATCAAATCATATTGAATGGAAAGAACCTTAACATCATTTAATTCATTGCTTAAAACCAGAGAAGGCTACATCTAAATGGTAGGGTATAGTTGAGAAACTTATAAATATGTCCCCCAGGAAAAGAAAAAAAAGGCTACCTTCTAGTTTCATATCCTTATAATCCCATACCAGTTAAGTTGTGTAATGTTGAGAACTACTTACTATGAAAATCAAACTAAGCCACAGAAAACCAAACTAACCAGAAAGAATCTGCTAATTGACTAGGAAAATAAGAATAAACAGACCTTCAGAAATTTCTTTGTCCAGGGATTTTAGCTCTTCTTCAATTTCAGATTTAACTTTTAAAAATACTTCTGGGTCCAGAGACTGTGAAGCTATATCTAGTTGAACCCCTGAAACCAACAAGAAAGTTACTATTGAAAGAGGGAGATGGAAGCCATTAAAATACTATAGTATTTTAAACTATTCAGTCAGAAAATGCAAAATTAAATCACATTGTCAAGGCTAGGGAGGCTAGGAAATATTTTTTTCAACCACTAATAAACAATAACAACTAGATGTTTTGGGGTCTATTAAAAGTGAAATCTGGGCTGGGGTTGTGGCTCAGAGGTAGAGCACTTGCCTAGCACATTCGAGGCCCTGGGTTCGATCCTCAGCACCACATAAAAAAATAAATAAAGGTATTGACAACTACAACTAAAAAATAAAAAATAATTTAAAAATAAATAAATAAAAGTGAAATCTGGAAGCCAAGTGTGGTGGTACATGCCTGTAGTACCAACTAGTCAGGAGGCTGAGGCAGAAGGATCACTTGAGCCCATGAGTTTGAGTCCAGCCTGGGCAACAAAGGGAACCTGCTGTTGAATGAAATCTGATAAAAAACAGAAAAGAATAAGACCATGTTTCTGCCAGGAATAGAGAAAAAAGAGCAGAACCTTCAGAAACACATGAACTCAACAGGAAATAAAGAAATTAATATATGTAAGTTCTCTCTTTTTGTATACTATCTGTTCTTTAAAAAGCTGACTATGATAAAGCCAACTAAAAGAAGGCTGTGGGTGTAGCTCAGCTGAAGAGGACCTGCCTAGGTTGTGTGAGGCCCTGGTTTTGATCCCTTGCACCACCAAACAAAAACAAAAGCAAAAACTTGTGACTTTAGTGGTGATAGGAGATGGATTCTTTCTCCCCACTTCAGATTATAAAGATCCTTAATTATCTCTTTTTTTTTTTGGGGGGGGGGGTAGGGGGGTAGAGAAGGGGTACCAGGAATTGAACTCAGGGGCACTCAACCACTGAGCCACATCCTCAGTCCAATTTTGTATTTTATTTAGAGACAGAGTCTCACTGAGTTGCTTAGCATCTTGCCATTACTGAGGCTGGTTTTTTTTTTTTTTTTTTAATATTTATTTATTTATTTTTTTTAGTTCTTGGCGGACACAACATCTTTGTTTGTATGTGGTGCTGAGGATCGAACCCAGGCCGCACGCATGCCAGGTGAGCGCTCTACCGCTTGAGCCACATCCCCAGCCCCTGAGGCTGGTTTTGAATTTGCGATCCTCCTACCTCAGCCTCCTGAAACGCTGGGATTACAGGAGACTACCAAACCTGGCTGAAACTTTTTATTTTACTGTGCTGGGGATTAAATCCAGAATCTTGTACATGCTAGACAAGTGCTCTACCTAGAGCTACACCTTAGTCCTCTATGAAGATTTTTAAAGGTATAAAAGGAACTATGCTGCTATACCCCAAATTGCCCCACATTTAACCTACAGAAAAAACTTTTTGTTTTCCTCTTGTTCTGTTCTCTGGATATGTTAAAAATCTTTTCTTTGTCAGTCCCCAGTCCTACCAAATTGCCTATATTACATTCTTTTTTTTTTTTTTAAGAGAGGGGAGAGAGAGAGAGAGAGAGAGAGAGAGAATTTTTTTTTTAATATTTATTTTTTAGTTCTCGGCAGACACAACATCTTTGTTTTGCATGTGGTGCTGAGGATCGAACCTGGGCCGCACGCATGCCAGGCAAGCGCACTACCGCTTGAGCCACATCCCCAGCCCCTTACATTCTTGATTTATCTCCCTTAGTGCTGATTTTGCTAACTGCACAGTTAGCAACAATGTTACAAAATGTTACAAAATTGCAGTACATTAAACAAATGAAGGAAACTATATTATAAACTGAGAGTGGGTATGTGGAGGCCTGGGAGAAAGAAGAGGGAAAAATTTTTTGGGGGGTGGGTAACAGGGAATTGAACTCAGAGGCACTCAACCACTGAGCCACATCCCCAGCCCTATTTTTTATTTTATTTAGAGATAGGGTCTCACTGCCTCACTTTTGCTGAGGCTGAGGCCGGCTCTGAACTTGTGATTTTCCTGCCTCAGCCTCTCAAGACACCAGAATTATAGGTGTGTGCCACCAGGCCCAGTTTAAATTTTTTCCAGGCTAAAATAATCTCTCCCATACTCAAATGTAAGAATTTTGATCAAGTCATCATCATGGACCATAGTGAATAACAGTACTTTTAAGAGAAATCCTTTTTTTATCTATTGATATTGCAAACATACTTTGATGATAGGAGCAAGATAACAATCAAATTGAGAAAAGTATGGTTAGACTTCTCAATTCCACAAAAATATTTCAATTTTAACATCTACTGTTTTGCTCTTGACTTGCCCTTAATCAGAAACAGAATACCTGATCATTTTAGACCCTTGCCAGAGAACAGGCCCATTGGATTTAATTTTTTATAAATTTCTTCATGTGACTTGAAACATCAGGCTTCCTGAATATAGTCTTCATTTCTCTACATTCTAAATGTTATCATTTTAATCTAGACCATCAGAAAAGTATATACAGATAATCTTGGTCCCCAAAGTGTTGACTTCTTGTTAACTGAGCTGAATTTTGGTGTCATTTCTTTAGCTTTATACAGAATCACATTAAGAAACAGTGTTTTGAAGCCTAATATCACATTCGATATTGACATTTTCTATTGCATTCTCTGTGCTCTATAACACTATAAAATCTTTTTGAGAACTGAACCAAGGGACACTATCTTTGAGTGATATCCCCAACCCTTTTTCTTTTGAGACAGGGTCTTGCTAAGTAGCTCAGTTAAGCCATAAACATAAGATCCTCCTGCCTCAGTTTCCTGAGTAGCTGAGGATGCATGCCACCATGCCTTGCTGCGGTGGGGATGTCCCTTTGAAGATCTATACTCTACCCAAATCAAAATAGTATAGCTTCTAGTTATGAAAAAAATTACTCCTGCAACAAAATATCCCTCTACTTTTCCCCCCGTCTCTCTTTTTTAATTGATTTTATTTTTAAATACATGACAGCAGAATGCATTACAATTCTTATTACACATATAGAGCACAATTTTTCCTATTTCTGTTTGTATATAAAGTATGATCACACCAATTCATGTCTTCATACATGTACTTTGGATAGTGATGTCTATCACATTCCACCATCATTGCTAACCCCCTGCCCCCTCCCTTCCCCTCCCACCCCTCTGCCCTATCTAGAGTTTGTCTATTCCTCCCATGCTCCCCCTCCATACCCCATTTATGGGTCAGTCACCTTATATCACAGAAAACATTCAGCATTTGTTTTGTTGGTATTGCTAACTTCACTCAGCATTATTTTCTCCAACACCATCCAGTTACCTGAAAATGCCATGATTTTATTCTCTTTTTATTGCTAATATTCCATTGTGTATATATGCCACATTTTTTTAACCCATTCATCTAGGTTGGTTCCACAGTTTAGCTATTGTGAATTGTGCTGCTATAAACATTGTTGTGGCTGTGTCCCTGTAGTATGCTGTTTTTAAGTCCTTTGGAAATAGACCAAGGAGAGGGATAGCTGGGTCAAATGGTGGTTCTATTCCCAGTTTTCCAAGGAATCTCCATACTGCTTTCCATATTGGCTGCACCAATTTGCAGTCCCACCAGCAATGTATGTGTGTGCTTTTCCCCTACATCCTCGCCAACATTTACTGTTGTTTGTCATATTGTTGTTTGTCGTCATAATAGCTGCCATTCATACTGGAGTGAGATGATATATTAATAGTGGTTTTGATTTGCATTTCTCTAATGGTGAGAGATGATGAACATTTTTTCATATATTTGTTGTCTGATTGTATATCCTCTTCTGAGAAGTGTCTGTTCAGGTCCTTGGCCTATTTATTGATTGTGTTATTTGTTTTTTTGTTTTGTTGCTTAGCTTTTTGAGTTCTTTATATACCCTAAAGATTAGAGCCTACATTTTGGGAGCAAATTTTTCCCCTATTTCTAAGAATCAAATTTATTGTTCAATGCTAGTATAACTGTGCATAACATTAGAGATTACATATCTGTGTTCTGCTGTTTCCACCATGGAAATATGCAGTGTCCCTACTTCTGATTTTACTTATTATTTAGATTTTTTCCATTATATATTCTTTTTTTAAATTTTTTTTTAGTTGTAGATGGACATAATACCTTTATTTTATTTATTTACTTTTACGTGGTGCTGAGGATCGAACGCAGTGCCTCACACATGCAAGGTGAACGCTCAGCCACTGAGCCACAATCCCAGCCCTCCATTATACATTCTTTTAAACCATATCAAATTATATGTGGTGAGGAATTTTTTAAAATCCAGTATTGCAATGGGTAGAATGGTGCATGCCTGTAATGCCGGTGACTCAGGAGGCTGAGGCAAGAGGAACACAAGTTTGAGGTCAGCCTCAGCAACCTGGCAAGGCCCTGTCTCAAAAAAAAAAAAAAAAAATCCAGAGGCTGGGGTTGTGGCTCAGAGGTAGAGTATTTGCCTGGCATGTGTGACACACTGGGTTTGATCCTCAGCATCACATAAAAATAAATAAAATAAAGGTATTGTGTCCATCTACCACTAAAGAAATTTTAAAAAAGTATTGAACTTGTTGCCAAGCAAAACACATTATGCTACATTTTTACCTTACAGAGACTGCCCTTCTTTTCCTGATTATTCAAATTTGGTTCACCCTTCAAGATCCAATTTAAGCCTATTTCTTCATGATGTTTTCATGACTTGTTTGTTTAAAGGTTGGTGAAAGACTTTTGATATCAGTTAGTCTGATACATAATATTACAAATATATACTATCCTATATTGTTTGATGACTTTATACTTTATTATCATTTTTCTGACTACATTATAAACATTTTAAGATATTTGATTCTTGTAAGACTTGAGTCAGCATGGACTAAATAAGTCTCAAATATCTGAAAATGGTACCTACCAATATCTAATATGATACTGTCTAGTCCATCCTCCTCATAATGTGAAGAATATGGACTTGGAATTGAAAGGATTACAATGAATAGATGAACACGTATAGATTAACCTCTCACTGCACTGTCTAGGT